CGGTGGCTGGTCAGCAGCCACACATTGCTGGGGACACAGACCTCCACCCTCTCTCCATCACCACTGTCCATCTGCACGGTGGAAACCCAAGTTCAACTCTCTTGACTGCCTTCTCCTTTCTCATCTCCAGTGGTGTACACAGGTACCTGCACTTCCACACAGAAATGCACCATCAAAACCAAACATTTGATTGCAAAGATTTGCCTTAAGTCTCTGCTAAGGATCACTGGTGGCTATCCTTAGAGAAATGCAGCACCTGGCATGTGCTTTTCTCCAGTAAGGCCATGCCATGGGTCTGCCTCAGAGTCCAGCCTGGGAAGAAGCAAGGGTGTAAACAAGATCCTGGAAGTTCCTGTGGAAGGGAACATGTGCTGGGCCTCACAGGAAGGTTTCTAAAGATGCCCAAAATTATTAAAGACATGAGAACTTCCAGAAGAAGTTGTGAGGTGGGTAGGAGACCCCAGCTCAAACTCCCTGATCAAAACAAGGCAAAGAAAGACACATAGTCCCTCTAACTTTCAACCCAACACTTCCTTGAGAAACCATTATCAACCAAACATTTTTCAGCAAGACATTTTCCCTAATTTTTGATTACAAGCTCATTTTGAGCAAAACACCTCAGCTGATCCTGTTAAAGATACTCAGAGCCTGCAGATCTCTTTTCCTCCTGCACAGCTGATTACAAGCTGATCCCTCCTGCAAGTCAGGGCTCACCCTGGTCCCTCCTGCAGCAGGCCTCACCAGAAGTGATTTCTCCCTGTTTCATATGTGCTATTCAACTTTGGTGTGCTAAGTAGGGGGAGAAACCTAAGACAGGGTGACAAACTGATCCATGCAGAGTACTAGAGAAAGACAGGCACCAGTAATTACCCTGAAAGGCAATTTAGGATAATCAATAGACATGTATATAAATAAATTAAAACTAGATATAACTAATGAGTTACCTTAATATAGGGAGAGGAAAACAAAATAAAGGCCACAGAACCAAGCAGCCTGAGTGTCCGTGCCCACTTGAGTCACTCTGCTGGTCTCTTGTCCCTCATTCTCGCGTAGCTGCTGCGCCTGTAGCAGCTGAGCCTTCTTCCTGCCTTTGCATACACAACCTGCTGCGTTTTGGGCTGCCATAGTAAGCGGAAGATGGCAAATGGCAAATTTCTGATGCTTCAAAATTAGCTTTAAAATTCTGTGATTATAAGGAAAGTTGTTAAAGGTGCCCGGTATTTTTGGGAGGGGAATCCTTCCTGGCATCCAAGTGCCTGCAAACACAAAATTTAATTACCCTATATTATTACACCTACTCATCAGCTATTGGCCAGAGCCAGCCTTTCAACTGACACAGAACCAAGTCAAGTAGTTTGTCCCCCCAGAGATCTGGTCAATAAATAAGGTGCAAGGTCATTCTTATTACCCATTTTTTCTATTAGCAATTAAGTAAGGGCTTTCAAGCTCAGGCCTCTTCCTCTTTTCTGTTCCTTACTGAGGTGTCTATAACAGAGACAGGCAGAGAGCATTCTGGCTTCACTGGTCACTGATCTGTATTATAGGAATCAGCAGGCAGGCCAGAGGTCAACCACACAAACCCAACCAGAAAACGCCTATTCTGTACATGCATCAGCGGCCTGGAGTCAGTCATCCTGCTCCAGGGGACATGGCAGAAAAGTCAAGTGTAAAAATCGGCCGTTTCAGTGGATGATAAAGTAAAAATTTGAAGAGATCCTGCCGTGCTGAAAATTTAACACAATCTAAATAAAAATGGCATTATTGCACCTAATCCATGTAGAATAGGGATTACACTCTATAGAAACTGGATCAGTCCATACTTCTCTGGCCACTTAAGCTTTTAAACATCTTTAAGTGGACTTCAAATGATTGGCCACAATTAACGTCAAGATTTTGCATTTCACATCCTCCTGAAAGAGACTCAAAGCACCTATGTAAGCATTGGCTTGCAGCAATAACACATCTCTAGAATAGCTTTGATTCCAAGTATTGCATAAAACAAAAAGGATCCAGTCTTTTTTGTTTCCTTTTCCTCTCTTTTTTTTAATTCTTCTTTTTTCCCCACTTTTCTTGCCTTTTTAAAATGCCAAGTTTCATCTCTTATCAGGGCAATGTATATTCGGCATCACACATACAACATCAGCACACTGGCTGAGGTAGATGCTGGGATGGGCATGTGGGAAGCATGGGGTTTGATATTTCTGTGGTGAGAAGTTTTTACTACAGTGATTACAGAAATGTATTTATAACATTCACCTTTGTTGTTCTAATAAATTTAATTCAGTTCAGAGCTTGTTGGTCCATGGGAAGTTTATATCCAAATGTGATTCTGATGGGTCAAAGATAGAGAGAGGACCTTCCGGAAAACAGTCTTTCAGTGAATGATAATATTTACTAAAGATTAATTATTTAATTACTTTTTAAAAAGTGTCAGTACAGAATGGCATATGAAAATGGGAGGTACAACATAAGAAGTAATGATTATTTTCACGTTATATGAAGTTTGCATGCCATGTTCATATGGTTCACTTAAAAGACATGACACATTTCCCCATTACAAGTACTCTCGTTGCCTGAGGTTCTTCTCAGGAGGGACTCAAGGGTAAGTGTAAGGATGCCCAAAATGCCTCTATCAAGACCACCTCTCTGGTGTTTTGAATGACTGCCAGCTTTAGGAGAGCATATGTATCAGCCTGTGGATTTCCTGCAATAGTAATTTGCAATCTGTCTAAAAATTGTTATTAGTTTAGAAGTATTACAGAAATGTTTAGGCAGTATTACTGAACTTGTGGTAGTATAGGAATCCAGGATTTCAGACCACATAACAAAGATGTAATTTATCTTTTTTACATACTGTATAGGTTGATGATGGAAATACCTGGTATTGCTTCCTCAAGATGAAGTGGTTGGCATAACGGTAGTCATGATTTGGAAAAAGTGTTGTTTGCCTAAGATATGTTACTGTGGGTGAAGATGAAGTGGATGAGGTCTGCTCCATGCACAGACTGCAAATATAAGTGATGATCCTGTTCTTAGAGATACTTAAAACAGGATTTAGCCCATGATGATGCGGGAGAAACCAGCAGAGAAACAAAATACAAGCTGTAATTAGGACTTGCATGCCTCCACAGTATGCTTGGACTCTGAATACTCTGCAATTTTTATTATGCCATCTCAAGCGGTAATAGAAGACAACTGAACATTGTGAACATAAGGAAGGTGAACATAATCATGGAACCAAAACCACAGCAGGAGCTGAAAAATCATGAATAGTGCACAGACAGCAAAGAAGAAAAATGGTTTTCTGTTTCTGACAAGAAATGAAGGGTTCAAAGTGGAATTGTCAGGTAAGTAGGTTAAAAGCAAACAATGACTTCACACACACACACACACACACACACACATACTTTTTTTTTAAAAAAAACCCTCTTTTGTAACTGGAACTTGCTGTCCAGGGGCATTTTAGAGGCCAGAAGTACAGACAAATTAGGTAGGACTAAGACAAATTTATAAAGGGGAGGGTCTACTGTAGACCAGATTCAACTAAAACAGATTGCTGGATGCTCTGTAAGTTACCCTAAAGCAAAATCATTCTGTGTAAGTCTTTTGTTTATATCCTTCCCTATCCTTCTACAACTGTTTATAATCAAACAGAAGATTACAGATAAAATGGGCTTGTGATTCAACTTGTAAAAGCACCTTACATTTTTATGTAACATAAAAGTTGGATTAGTCAGTTTTAACTAATCTTTTATTTCTAGGTGACTTGTTGAGGGAAATAGGAAGTAAAGCTGAGAACTGTGGGTTATAGGATTGTTTCAAAATTGTTAATTTTGTAGTGTCAAAACACAGTTAAAAGAAATGTTATGCTCTTCAACTGCCAGTGCAACTAGACCTTTATTTTGATAATGATCAACATAAACAAGAATGTCTTCTCAGTTGGATTAAAGAGCAAAGACTAGCCTTTAGAACTGAATATATGTAACACTGGCATTTAAAAAGAACTAAATACATATTGGATTTATTTCCAAGAACCTCACTGTAACATTTAACATACCAACACATGAAAACACTTTAAAGCAATGCATTAGCTTGATTAATATTACCAAATCGTGACTTTCTTATATTCTTCATTCCCATCACTTAATTTATCAGAATACTTTTTCAAACTACAGAGGCTATCAGCAATAAAAAATCACCCAGATTATCCTGTATAAATAGATACTGCAGGGATGTCAGGAAGGCCATCACTGAAGTAAAAACATAGTGCTCAAAAGGTATGAAAACCCTCAGTACCCTCTGGATATTGCCAAATATTTATTTACTGCTGGGAATGGAGCATCCACAGGCCAAACCTTGAGGTGGTGACATGCAGAAGGTGGCTAAGCAAAAGCTTTTGCATCTTAAGAGGGCTGTTTTAGAAACCCAGACAAATTTCTAAGCTTTGCATTTGTTTATTACCAAACCACAAAAGCAGTAACAGACAGATTACAATTCCCTGGCTAACACAGAAAAGTACATATAAATATTACCAATAAAAAAATACATCACTGACTCATCTCAACAGATGATGAGTACAAAGCCAACAAATAACACATTTTAAAGCATACGTTACTGGCTGCCCTATAGAAGATAAGTACTGCATACGGTAAAAGGGTTTTTTTGTGTTTGGTTTTGTTTTTTAAAACATATGTATGTTACTAAAAACTACCTAAATTTCAAAATTCCTTACTGAACATGTTGGAAAATACACATATACTTCCATGCCAGGGTTTTGTATCTTCTCCTATATTCCTCTTCCTTTCAGATCTCAATTCCTGAATTGGATCAACAAACCTCTATAAAATGCACAAACTCATACTGGCAATACAAAGTATCCCATTATGTTATATATGTGTATATATATTATATATATAGTATATAAACTTAAATTGCATTTGAAATGTAGAATTCAGTACTTAAAGCTACACCAACATTAGTCTGCACCAGCAGTTTTTTTCTCTGTCTCTGAATTATCACTTTCAGTTTCTCTTCACATTCATCTGTCTTAACTCTCATGCTCTCAAGGGATGGAGTTACTGTGAAGTAAAGAAATAAATCCATTAAGTTTAAAATCAGACTCCTGACACTCCTAAATATTCAGTATTTGTGCAGGATCTTTCTGAGATGTGGGATTTAACTGCCTAAACTTAGTTAACAGGAGCTGTCCAAGATGAGACTAGTTCTGACTGGTAATAACCAAGACCTCAGACTGCAAACCAAAAGGCCACCAGCATTTTAGAAAAAATTTAGAGAGGACTATCTGAATAAAAAAAATATCCTCCTCTTTATTGCACATGCATCTGAAAGAGTCTCCTTTGCAGAGAGAGAAATGCTGTAAGGACAGACTGTTATATGTACATTTCCAAGTCATTTCTCCTCTCACATGTGACTGCAGCTTGGGAAATGACAAGTTTTGAAAAGCCCGCATGTTAAAAATAACATTTCTAAATAGAGGAAAAAACCCTGCTCTTCAGCCAATATTTCAATATTATGTTGCACCCTAAATATAACATAATTATGATGCTTAAAATGTTGTTTTCTAGGAAAAGGAAAGAAAATGAAATGAAAAACATTATTCTCTTAAAGTCTGAACATGCTTGTTATCTCTTCTCAGGGGTAAACACACAGAAGTGCATTAACAGAAGGAAAAGGCATTAAATGGTAAGATAATAAAGCCCACAACTGTGTGCTGAAAGAAACCAGGTCACAGAAGATTCTGTCTTAAAAATTCTGGGTTTGTAGGGGAAGAGAATGTTGAGGTTGCTGTTCTATAAGTAATTAAAAACACCACAAAATGTTATTTTCAGAAATGTTAAGATTTCGTATAAGCAGGTCATCCTCACAATGTGGCTAATAATCCCTTTGCCCCTTCATGGAGTGCTAACTGAAAATATTACCACCTTTCAACTTTATAACTTTTTGTTTCTAGCTCTGTAAGAAGCAGAGAATCACAGTGGACTGAGAAAGCTGTCTCTCTGTGTACTGCTGAAGTTTCTGTAGGGATGCTTTTCTTCATATGATACAGTAACATCTCTTACTCCTGATGGTCTGGCAGTCTTGATTTCACTAGAGAACCGTTTAACGGTGAGATGAAGCTCCTGGTATGCTGAAGGTTCTTCTTGGGGTACCAGACGTGCTTCTCCGAAGACAGTGAGTAACTGGAATTTAATGCACAGACTGCACTCAGCTTCTACACTAAAAGCACATGCTCCTGCTGAACCAGTGCTATTGACCAATCCACACCCCAAACTCGGCTCAGATCTTTTAACACAGAAGTTACACATGGGAAATCAATACATCTAAGACAAAAGACACACAAAAGGGTCAATGCCCCATGATGCACACTGGCCAGTGTAAGATCTGCTGTGGACTGGAAACAGGTGCTGCCACTGACAGGAGCTGAAGAGGGACACTATGGCTGTTCAATTCTGAGTAGCTGATTAAAACAGGTGACTGTCACAGTACACCAGGGCTGAGTCCTCCTGTGGACATCTTACGCTCAGATGGAGTCCAAATTCCAACACGACCAATTGCAGTCCTTGTGACCTGTGAATGCAATACCTCTCCCCTGTGAAGAGACAAGCTGTGGAAGCAAAAAGAGATGTTTGCTTCTGAAGGTCTAGAGCAAGAGCTTTGTACTTCTTATAAGTTCTGGGGTTCATCTGGATCTGCAGTACGTAAAATCATCTAGTTGGGGTATTTCTGTCCGAACTCCAGGTGTAGCAGCTACTTTTTCGGTTTCTCTAGGATGTTCAAGAATTTCCCTCGAGTCATTTCTCTAGCTGAAATCACAAGGGAGAAAAAAAAAAAAAGATATAAATATTTTTTAAAAAGCCAAGAAATCCAAACAATTGTATAATTTACAGATTTTTACCACAGGGTAAGAAATTCTCTTACATTTGTGCTTACACCAGTAAGTTTGGTTTTGGTTTTGTTTTTTAAAGTTGAAAATAAGTAAAACTGCATTCCAGTGTGAATTCCTGGCATCCTAGAAACACAGTCAGGACCTGGAATCTTCTAAACTCAGAAATAATTCCCACAGGCTGTCTGATTACATACAATCTATGCTTTCTATTCCTACTGTGTTATGCTCTCACATCTCCTTTTCTCTGTACTATCCATCTCTGAATGGTATAATCCAGATCTCCATCACTCTGTCTCAGAGCAATTGTTCCTGGATGTTCTAATCCGTCAGAGATTATGGAACTCTCTCTTTCTCCATTTCAGGATTATTGGTCCCTGGATGCTATGATCTTCAACAGAAATTAGACAGCATTTTCTCTCTCTCAGCAATGTCAGCCCCTGGATGCTGCAATATAATAGGGTTTATATTCCTTCAATGCAGTTCATCTATGGATGGTGTAATAAAGTAAAGTTTATAGAGTTTTGGTCTTCTCTCTCTCTCTGCATTGTCAGTCCTTCGATGTTTAATACAGCAAGGCAAGGTTTATATGTCTCTCTCTCACTCTTGGCACCATCAATCTCTGGTAGCTGTATTACAGCAGGGTTTACACAGCCACTTTTCTGCACGAGACATTTCTGACTTGTGAGCCCATAAGCTCACAAGCTGGTAGAGCAGCCCTAATACTATCTTTGTCTTGCAATAACAATACAGTACATCCTGAAGACAACACGATTAGCAATTGAGTCCTGGAGAAAGACAATCTTCACACTGGTGCTTCCCTTCATTTCTTGTCAATAAAGGTGTAAGCTTTGTGCTGGACTGACAGGCATCAAAACATAGAGGTTTTTATTCACAGGATTGATGAAAGTGTGCATGTTTCCCACACCTAGCCCAGACTCTGGAAAGTGACTGGAAATTCATTTTCTGTTTTGTTCATTCAATTCCTGACCTCTCTACTGAGAGGAACAACAGAAATGACAATTGGGATTAAAACTGGAACTGGGTTTCTTGCTGACGTTGGGTTTTCTTTTCACCAATTATCTGTTAGAACAGAACTAAAATATTCAGCTTAAAATACTCAATACACACCCTCAGGTAAAGACATTTTGTTATTCTTTACCTAAAGATTAGAATTTGTACCTTAAACCCTCCTCTTTAAATTATTACATTCTAATTTGTCTACCCAAAATTGTACTACAAGGTATGGTCATCAACAATACCCCTGTAAAACCATTAAGGGTATTATGAACTGTCTGGTACACACTGATATTCATAGGCTGCAAAGTCCACTGCCATGAGTGGAACATGCTTCAGACTGGTTGCAGATTCAAGCAGATCATAGCATCATTCACTTGGTCCATCCCTCCAACTGTGATTTATATAATCTGGGATCCATTCCCAACTCTGCTTCTGATTCACAGCATAAACTGCCACAGAAGTACTCATTTGTACCTCTACTTCCCCATCTGCAAGATAGCTTGTATCTTTTAAGTGCTGCTGAAGTGACACACGGATAGAAGATAGGACACATGGATGCAGAAGGACAGAGTGGATTGTTATATTGTCAGGAACTAAGTTGTTATGCACAAAGAACATGATTAAATAAAAATGCAAGGTTTTAAAAATTTCAGCTAGGAACAGATTTTCAGCACCTGTTCTTTGACACTTCCCTGCCTTCAACAATGCATGGTTTTAAAACACTCTTAACAGAGAAAGCACAAAGCCGAACTGTAGTTGGTAGAGTGGAAAGTTTTCCAGAGTGCAAGTCCCATATAGGAGATATACGAATGCATGACAATTCTGTTCCCCCAAAGAGGGTTGTACCCTATAAATCAGGCAGAGAGCATAGACTCCTTCTGTGCGCTGAGTGAAATTACTGTGGGTTGGGGGTTGCTCCAGAGCACGTGCCCTCCTGTTCACTTGTCATCGGAGATGTTAACATTTCTGATTAATTCACAGACCTCTCATTTTATTCTTCATTCCTTTATCCTTGCTATCCTGTTCTGCTGCAGCTTAAAGATTCTTACCGACCTGCTACAATAATCACCGCCCGCTTCCCCCCCCAACCTGGTGAAATTGTTTAGTGATGCCAACCGCGCTTTTAATTTGCAAGACATCAGACACAGAGGTAATTTATACCAACATCTGTTCATTTCTGACTTCTGAAACAAACTCGCACATGCTGCTACAAAATCCCATTAGGAGCAGGAGACAGCCTTCTGCTATTCTGTATTCCTCTTCTTCTCACATACTCAGGCTTGCATCAGGGCTGTATTTTTAAAGATATGATGCCAAACTGAATAAAAGGACCTTACATCTTTATATCTGTATGAAGATGGCCAGGAAATAACATCCTTGTATCACATACAAAAAAAAAAAAAAAAAAAAAAAAAAAAAAAAAAAAAAAAAAAAAAAAAAAAAAAAATCACAGCCAAACTAAGGGCAAGTTTCCACAAACATTAACAATCGTGTTTTCCTTGGTTCAGCTGCTTCTCTTAACTGCCCAAGAACCACAGTTCAATGTATTCCTGGTAAGCACAGGCCAAATATATATTACATGGTACTGCATCAAATGTCTTGGCTATTCCTTCCTCTTTGTTCCTCTTCAATCTGCACTGGAGTATGATTCAAGCTTGGGTTTTACACAGAAAAGCCTCTAATATTAAACTGACTCTTCTGCTCAGTATTGCTCCCGATAAATGAATTCTTAATAATGGGAATATCATTTCCAATGGGGCCTTTTGGAGCTTGCTGGAGTGAGGGAAGAGCTTGTGAATGAAGAAACCATCATCCACATTCTAAATATGATTTCAGACTAAGAGAGATGGTAAAACCTGCCTTAAACAACTACCCAAGGGACCAGCAGAAGCCAGTTGCGTAGTAGATAGAGGTGGATTTTTTAATTAAAAGGTTGGACAAAACTGTAGTAAAAACCTCAGGGATTTTTTTCTTTAAAATGGTTGCTTAAACCACGGACTTCAAGTGAAGAGAGAGCTTGAATGCAGGTTTCATTGTACCAGCAAACAGACACTAAAGAGGCTGTGCAGCATGAAACAGAAACATGAATCTCCATGTCAAGTCACGATTTACAACCTTGCCTAGACTGTGCATCTACTACAATAGAAAAATCAACAATGGATACGATTGCAATAGCTTGGATACAAATTAATCTCACCTACTAGGAAGGAGGAAGAGGATACTGAAGACCACAGAAAAAACACTTTAAGATGTTATCAGCACTGGTTACAATGGAAGTTGAGTGCTTCAATAGACTCTTCCAGAGAAAAGTATTCAAAAATGCTATCAGGCTACTATAATTAACAGCAAATGCTATACTGTATGAATTCAGTTTACTGCCTGGCAAGATTCGCCAAGCAGATCTCAAGCACAGGTATTGGGTAGGGAAGGCTGGGGCTTAAAGGAGAAGGAGACATTTCTACTTTACAGGGGAACAGAATAAGGTTTAATATAATCTCCTCTTTAGAACTTCAATCCCTCAATCCCACATTTAGCCTTGTTGCCCAGGGCTCCTTTTCTACTACAATTGTCCCCAAGTTGCCTCTCTGCAGTAAATTTTGTGGTTGCTGGTTGAAAAGATTCAGTAGTACAGATTGATTTCCTACAAGTGAGGAGATGAGGGATTACCAAAAGCAGTCCTGGTTAACAAGATTGGGTGCAGAATCTCCTGCTAGAGCAGCCCACTCTGCCAGTGCTTTGCATCCTTTCACTATGACATATGGGTTTCATTACACAAAGATTTTCCTGATTTTAACTTGGAGGCGATTACATTGGAAACTCAGAGCTATCTTTACATCTGTAGCAATTTAAAGGTTAAGTAACTTTTAATCAAATGACAAAGACTCATAATGTTTTTTCCTCGATTGAAAATGAAAACTGCTGTTCCGGATATTCCTTCCAGTGACAATTTAATTAGAAAAAAACCCACTGCACTGGAGATTGGGGTCCAGCCTGATTGCTCCCCATAAAAAGCCTTCTCACACATATGACAGCACAGGACATACTGTGTCATAAGGTCTGGATAGCCAGGAAATAATGGAAGGATTTACTGCTATAAAATCAGCAACAAAACCAGTGATTTACCCTTATATAAGCAACTTTCACCCATGAGAATCCCTAAGCAGCACACATATGTACACACTTTTTTTAACATAATATACACTTAAATGCAAAAGCACACCACAGTTGGTGATAAAGTATATGTGACAAACTGTATTTGTCACACATTTATCATGATCATTATATCTTCCTGCTTACTACTTCCGAGCTTATCTAAAAATCTCAAAACAAAGCTTGTGAGCATCTTCAAATCACAAATATTTTTAAATGAAGTCGCCCACTAAAAAAGCACAAAAGAAACCTTTCCCCCAGATGTACAACTCGGGACAAATTTGGTGCTCCTCCTCTGACCTGAAAATGGAGCCTTGTTGAAATTGAAAGGTCTTGTTACTAAAAAAACCGTGGAAATACAATTAATACCCTCTGAACAGAACATGGGTTTAGCCCTGAAATGTCTTGTAGTATCACACTTTAAATGCTACATTCTTGACTACAAAAGGTTATTTTGGGTACTGTCACAATTTGTTAGCTTATCAGTTATTCTTCCCATTCAATTGTATTTATGATAGCTAAAGAATTTGTTTTTCAACATGGAAGGATTCCTTTAAAGTACTAATCATTCACTCTTAAACTACTGTTGTGTATTAGGACTACACAGAAAACAAAACTAAAATGGTTTATTTCTGAAGAACTATTGAAGGAAAGTTGCTTCTTTGTTTCACTATCAGCAGAAATTACCAGTTCAGGGCAAGTAACATGAATTGCAGAGAGACAGCAGAACACTTCTCTGGTTTTTAACCC